TTAAAGTGGATGGAAAAGAGGTTGGGAGGTTGCTCTCACAAGAAGAGGACAAATGAATCCTGTTGTATTGCAGCCGTTCGGCTTGACTACGACGTTTAGGTTGATGCGATACACGAGACATCCTCCTTCGCTTCGACTGAAAACGTCTCAGCTTTCGTCCATCATATGATGGACATCATCAGAGTGGAAATCCGTTCTTGTCAGTCTCACATTAACACTAGGCCAGGAAGACTAACCCAAAACTAAAATGAGCAGACATAAATACATATAGGATGGTTTGGCTAATTATCTTTCATACTGGTCCTGCTACTTTTGCTCGATTGTGTGTGTGTGTCTGTATGTATGTCTGTCTGCCCATGTGTGTGGTTGTATTAATGTCGATACGCAATATCGGTCACAAATCAGATTGATCAGAATAGGCTAATGTCAGGCTCTGGTCATCAAGGCTTAATGACCCAAGAGAGAGCCCCGACCGAGACTGCATAATTCAGTTAGCAAATATGTTTGAGATAATGAGATATAAGCTTGTGATTCCTCTTTTTGACCAAATAGTCAGACCAAAGCAATCTTGTGTTCTAAATGGGGTTTGCGGATATTTACCTCGCCATAACCTAATTGTTATGACAGCCAACAGGTGGGGCAGTGGTAGTCAAGGCTAGGCTAAGTTATTTAGAAAAATGCTAGTTCATTTACATGACAATGACACGTATAGGCCATTAGTGAGAGATTCAACAGAAAGACTTAAGACCATGTTGAAGGATGTCTTTAAGGTATGCGTTAATAAGTGTGAAATGGGGAAGTGAAAAATGCAATGACTACTCCAGAGAGATGCAAGGCTTCCGACAGCTTATGGTCTCCCTACGGTTCACAAAGAATGTCCCTTTTAGAAAAATTATGGCTAACAAAGCGAGTGTGATGCATTAAATGTCACGTTTTTTATGCTTACATCTACTAAAGGCTGCGGATTTTTGGCAATATTTAGTTACAAATTCTTATGAGTGTGAAATTGATTGATCAGCAGATACTTTCAGAGTGGGACATGCTAATAAGTTTTAATGTTGCGTCTGTACACAAATACTCCTGTTCAAGTAGCCATTTAGGCTTTAGCACAAACTCTGGAGATCATAGAAAGAATAAAGCTAAATATAGCCTCCATTCTTGGACTTATTAAT